GCAAAAAATACAAATTAGTTTTTTGGTTCAAAGATGGGACAAATAATCACTTATGAATTAGGAACTGTCATCCCCAAGACTAAAAATAACATATATGACTAATCCAGCCCAAGAGCATATTAGCCAAATCACTAATCACAAAAGAATTAAATATTTAGATATTAGCAACCGCGATTTATCCGGTCCGGCTGACCTAAAAGAATTTACCGCTTTAATTAGTCTTAATTCTTAAAATAATAAGTTTGAAAATTTGGACTTCTTAAATTCTTTACCTAATAAAGATAAATTACAAAAAATAAACTTCTTTGGCAACCAAATAAAAGAAATAGATTTAGCCCATTTATTAAACATTTTTCCTAATTTAGAATATCTTAATTGTGAAAATAATCCGTTAAGTGCGAAAAACTTGGAAAATTTGTCTAGCGAACAATTTGGCAAGTTAGTAAAAGGGATAAAAGATAAGGATAAATTCTTATAAAGGAACAATATTGATGGACTTGCTGGAATATGCTCAAAAATTAGCCAGCCAAGGAAATCAGCAACAGCAGCAAAACGCTCAATATTTACAAACCCTTATTCAGCAGGGCGGTTCATCGGTTAAATCGGAGGATAATAATCGGTCCGGTAATAATGTCCCACTTTTAATTGGTGGTTTAGTAATTTTTGGCATCTCTGCTTTGGTAGTAGGTTACTTATGAGGTAAAAAAAGAAAAAATAATTATGAGTAAAAGAGAAGAAGCAAATTTAAAAGGAGGTATTTTTGTGATTGGCGTCATACTTTTAACCAATTATTCCCACTATGGATTAGGATTAGGAATAATTAAATCCGGATTATTAGGATTTACTTTGGCTGCCATTCTCTTTAGTGGCAGTATGAGCCATAAGAAAAGTCTTTGGGAAGTAATAAAATAAATATGTCAAATTGTTATAAATGCAAAAAAAACACCAACGAATTAATGAGAGTTAGTTACCAAAACAAGTGCGGACTATGTAAAGACTACGACAATGCAATGCACTTTGCTATGGGTATAAACCCCGAGGACAAATCTCCTTTTCCCGAATGTGGTTGTCGAGGAATTTGCTTCGAATGTTCAAGGAAAAAATGCCAGGTATGCGGCAATATAAAAAGAGGAGAAAATGACGATTTTGCTAGTGATTGTAAAATCTGTGGTACTTACGAAATGACGGAATTAGCCGATAAGTCTGATATCGACGAGAGAGGAAACTGAATAGATGGCTACGGAAACATCGTAGGTAATTGTGAGCAATGCGTTTATTGTAATAACAAAACTGTTTGCCGAAAATGTGCTATTGCTAAATTAGACAAAGTGAAAAACCAATCAGAGGAGATTAAAAACTTAAGGACAAGAGTTGGAGAATTAGAAGAAAAAACTAAAAAATTAGAGGAAAGGTGATTTAAAACAACCCGAAAAAACAATTTATGTGATACTTGCGGAAGTCAAAGCACTCACGGAGAGTTATTCAGATGTGATAATTGTGATTAAAATTACTCTTTTGGATGAACTGCCACCGAACGGAGCCATTTACCATACTGATAAATTTGGAGTAAAAAGAAAAGTAGGGCGATATATTAAGTGCTGGTCGTCAAGCCCAAGAATTAGGAAGTCTGTATAAAGAGCCAGCGGGAGAAGGCAAATGAGCTTGACAAGCTAAAAATATCAGAGCCATCGCCGAAATATTTAAAAAATACTTTTTTTCGATTGAGTGTAAAGAAAAAGCAGAGAGCAATTTAACT